CACAGAATCTCTCCCCAGACCTACCCTCCCCTGCCAGCAGCAGAATGGGGAAGTGGGGGAAATCAGAGGCCCCCACTGTGCTGCTATCCCAGCTGCCTTGGCTGGGTCTGGGAGGGCCACATCCACGTGGCCAGGTTTCCTCCTTTGCTCACTGCCTGGTCCACCTGGTCAGCGTGGCTTCTCTCCACATCCCCACCCCTTGCCAGCTGCCAGTGATGGAGGAGGGAACGGGGGAGGGGTTAGGCCTCTGCCCTGCCCTGCCCTGCCCCCCTAAGCTAGCACAGTTGGAGCGGATGGGGTGAACCCCTCCACATTCCTTCCCTCCCCTCCTCCCCCCACTGTTTAGATTGGTTTCTGATAACTTATACTAGTTTGTGTGTAATGTCTGTACCCAGTCTGGATGATAAAACATGTTCTAGATTTAAAATAGATGAATCACTGAATTTTCATAGATTAAACCTCTCCCCATAGCTGTGCTGCCCTAGCCTTCCTATTGACCCCTGCCTACTGTCCCAACCTCCCTAACTTTTTGGGTACCACAAAGAAGAGGTGGTAAGTCATGCTGAGTGGATGAGTATTATCTTTTTGCACTGTATCCTTAAAGGCTGATAATTCTTAGCCACACTCCTAACAGACCATGGCCAGTTCTTCCCCAATTATGTAGCATTAACCCTTCACACCTGAGGCGGAAGTGTTTTTGTCGAACTGAAGCAATAAAGAGCAAGCTCTTTTGAACTCTATGTAGACAGGAATTTCAGGGAGAAATCTTTTAATTTATATATAAAAGAAAGAAATAACAATGAAGAAACTATCTCTGTGGTTTCTTCATTGTTTTTCCTTCCCTTCAATCTCTTCATTGCCCTCTTCCAGGAGACCCACAATACCAATATAATGATATATTAATGTGTTTAACTGAAGATCAGAGAACAATATTTAGTATTTTGGGAGTGTTACTCGTCATTTTAGCTCTGTGGAGCAGGGACTGTATTATCATATATGCTTGAAACAGTGGGGGCTGATCCATCTAAGGGCATCTGGATGTTATTGAAATATTTTATTCTTGTTGCTTGATATTAATATTTAATCTTTGGATGGTATAATTTGTGATGGGAAATACCTGTTGGTGAAAGAAAATGATATCAGTGGGATATTTAGCATGAAGCTAAGAAACCACTCTTAAAACTGTTCATGCCCATTAGCAATTATTGGGTGGATAAAAATATACAGAAGTGTACTATCAATAAATTCAAAGCAATGTTAGGAAAGTGAAGATAGCCATGGATTTAAATGTCAAAAGGGACCATCATGATCATCTAATCTGACTGTCTGCATAACCTCTTGGCTCAGTCTGACCTCCTGCATGGGCCAGGGAACTTTCTGAATCAGTCTTGAATATCCAAACATTTTCAACTATCAAGATGTCTGGAATGGCACCCAAAAGGCCGAGCTCAAAGATAAAGTTAGTCATTAATTATGTTATCACTATAAGTCTGTCACAGAGATGAACAGAAGCTCCAAAGTATGGATCCAAATTTTCTAGAGTGCAGATTTATTTGTGTTTGGGCCTTTGTTTAGGACATTATGGAAATAAAAGCAGCAGCATTGTGTGGCTTAGACCAAGATGAGAATATTTCCTCAAACTAGGAAAAACTACATAGTCAGTTCAGGCTTATCTGTTGTTCAGATAATCAACAAAGAATAGGTGGTGATTTTCCCTTGAATATGCATCTTGCTTGCTTATTCTACTCATTTTTAATACGCCCATTATCATATTGTTTCTGAGCACAAGACTGTGTTTACTGACTTGTTACTGTCAATTACAAACAGAAAAAGTACAAGGCTTAGATAAAACATCCTTAATATCCGACCATTCTAGAATTTAAAAGGAGAATGCAAGAAGCTTTGGAGAGCTTTTTTCTGGCTTCTACAACTGGCTCATTAGTACTGGCCTAGTTCTGAATTGGTAATTTCAGTCTCTAATTCAGGTGAGGAACAAAGATGAATCGAAGGAGCATTATGGTTATGGAAGTCTCTCAGAGACAGCAGTCTTTCTTAGGGAAGATGCTGGTAAGGGACAAGATTACAAAATATCTGTGGACATATAGCTTAGTATAAATCAGTCAGGATGAAATTATAAAATAGAGATGATGGCAGTTAAATTCTGAGCAAATTGCTAAGCAGTAAGAAAATGTGGAATCAATGGCTGTGATTTATTGGAGTTCCAGGAAAGTACTGGATACCATTCTACTCAACAATTGATTAGAATAAAAGGTGGGGAGGGATTTTGGTTCAGATTAAAGAGTGTTCATAAACACTGTGTGAGATGACAATTTCCCCATTTATAAAATCCAAATAATTAAAGGTAGAGTTGCCAAAGGAATCCAAGGGAATTGGTTGCCCAAATCCCACTGAAATGTAATTATACTGGATATCTGTTTCATTGAAAATGTAGTCTCAAGGAATAGATTGATGTCACCAGATGTTTAAAACAGTATTTAATTTGAAGGTCAAGGATCATAAAATGTTACTAAAGAGAGGTTTAGGACATAATGTACAAAATGCAAGTAGATTTTCTCAAGTGACCATCTCATTGACTTTGCTATATGAAAATATAAATATGCAACATTTACATTCTTACATTAGGAAGGAGAAGCTAACAGGATACCTGGATAGCCTCTGTCACTATATTTTGCACAATAAAGAAAATATTTAACTATGAGAAATAATTATGGAATAAATCAAGAAGCTATATTCAAAAACTTTGTTGTGGATTGCCGTACCTGACGGGAAAGCACCTCAGCCTGTGACAACGTGTTAATAGAGGGACTGTTGCGGCCATCAAATGTGCTTCTTCTCGTACTTATCCTGTCCCGCTCATTTTGTACAGCTAGAAAAGAATAATCATCCAATTTATTTGCTTGTAGTCAATGTCATTGAACATAATTTCAGAGGTTTATTATATAAATACATCTATCAAGAGCAGGACCTTGGAGTTTCACCTCTGTGAGCCATAAGAAAAGGGTGACAGTAGATTTGTACATTTATTTGTCTAGTAATATTTGTCATTAAAATTATTCATTTCTAATTGTTGTGGGACACTGAGTTATCAGCGTGTTTGTGACCGCCTTTACTACAGCAGCATCTTATATTTTCTTCTTTAAGCTTGACAACATTTAGTAATTTGCTTGGCTTGCCACTCCACCAGCCTTAATTAATGAGGCTTTATGATAATGATAGAAATAGACGTCCCAGTCCTGTTGAATAGGTCAAAGAGTGCAGCACAATCACTGACAGGATGTCAGATTCACAGAAATTCTGAAAGCTGTGCTCATGCTCACCCCTTCCTATGAGAGACACTGAAACAAGAATGAATAATGAACTTAATCCAAAAGTAAAGTAATTGTAAAACTGAAATCTTATGCTCCTCTTCAGGGACTTGCAATTACTAGCCAGTTTTTATAACAATAAATAAGCACAAAAAAAAAATTAAAAAACAAATTCCAAGGTGATGGGCTTTGTCTTCTGAGATCCAGGGAGGGTGGCAAAGACAATAAGAAACCCTTAATAAGAGCAGAAAATGACTTATGAAACAACAGAGCTTACTTTTTAATTCAGGAATAAACAGGATAAATAAAACCATCAATCACAGTCTCTAAAACCTAGACCACATCGAAGGTTAAGCCAAGGAGAGAGGGGAAAAAAAAGTATTGTGCTGATCAACAACTTTCCTTATTCTGCAAAGAATCTCATCATCCTAAGAGAAGCAGCTTTATTTCCAATATGTCAGTTATTTTGTGAGAAACAGTCTGCTTTACAGAAGTTTAGGAGTAGCACCAAAAGCTTCAATAAAAATTCTCTCGATACATTGCATAGTTTCCTGTAGTTTATATGAAGAATGAACAGACCTTATTCTAGAGGTGCACTAACTTCTTGCCAAGGACGTTTACTGATGGGCCTTTTATTAAGGTCATAATAAGAAATGTTGTGCAGTGATAAACACTAAGTAATAAATGTTCATGTAGAGATGAAACAAGAAATATGACCATTTTTTAACTGGAGATACAGACCCCATTCACTTAGTATCTTGGCAACTAAAGTACTAAATATATTAAAAAAAATTAAAATACTGTCAGCATTGAACTGAACCAGAAGCTGAAGCAAACCACTTTTCTGATAGTCATATATAAAAGTTAGTGAAATTTCGTAATCCAGGGAAATATTTCAAATTACTGTTGCATATGCATAGAGCTTAATATATTAACTCTTTAGCCCATAAATATGGGGACCAGTCTATTCTCCTCCTCCCCTTCTCCCCCTCCCAACCCCCCCCCCC